CAGTGTCTGGATTCGGTCTGCCTTGCTCGCAGTGGGCAACGGGGCCCAGGAGGCGGCAGGCTGCCCTAGGGAGGCAGCAGGAGGAGGGGAGCACTCCTTCCCCTCCCCGTGCCGCGCTTCCCTGCCACAGACCTGGGCACTGTCCTAAGAGTGTGGGAGACAGGCGGGCCATGGCTGGCAGGCCCCAAGCAAACCCTGCCCCTCCTGCCCTCCCCGTGCGGCCTGTCCATGACCGCCCTGTCCCCAGGAGCAGCCTCCGTCCCAGCAGAGGCAGAGCAGGAGGACGACAGCCAGCAGGATGCCTGGTCTCTGCTGCTGCCACCTCCTCCCTCGCCCAGGCAGGTCGCACCTGCCGGGGAGCCCAGCCCTCGGTGCTGAGCGGGACCGGGGCTCAGGCATTTGGCTGGCAGCGTCTCACCCATCTCGCTGGCCTGTATTTCTTATGCTGCTGGTTGGTTGCTTCTTCTAACTTCTCTCTTCTGCTTCTCTCCAGTTGTGTGTGTGCGTGTGTGTGTGTGTGTACATGGGTGTCCTTCATGCGTACTGTCTCTCCTCCTCCATCAGACCTCCCTCCTTGCCCAGGGGTGCCCTGTCAGGACACATGCCCATGCCCTTGTTCCCTGTGGGACTCCCCTGTCCTGGTACGTGTGCCTCTGGGTGGCTGCGTGTGGAAGGACACGGCCCCAGCCAGGGCAGAAGTGCAGCATGTCCCAGCAGGGCGTGTACTTCCTGCCCACCCGCAGCACGCATGTGCCCCATTAGGACAGCCCCTCCCTGGTGTATGCCGGTGCCCTCTGGATACACGCACACGTGTGCTCACACGCTCTAGCATGTGGCACGCACACAGCCCCCCCTCCCCCGCCCCGCCCTTGCAGCCTCCATCCCAGCTGGCAGGCACAGGTGCACGTGCGCGCACACTCTCGTTCCCACCCTGCCCAGCTCTCACTCCTCCCTGCACAGTGACACCGCCCCCATCTCCCAGATGAGCCCTGCCCAGGGCTCCCACGCCAGGGCAGGTCTGTGTAGGCCAGGGCAGGGCAGCAAAGTCTTCCCCATGGGCAGGTTTCCCAGAGTCATCCCCAGGTTCCTGTGCCCGATGCCTCTTGTGCTGGCTGGGCGGAGCAGGAGCCGAGCCCGTGCCAGGCTCCCCAGCCCCCTCCACCAGGGCACGTTCCAATCTCTGTCTCTCTTTCTCTCCCTGCTCTCGCCTGCTGTGACGTTCATCACCATCATCTCCTCCTCCTCCTCCTCTCCTCCTCCTCCTGCTCAGCTCCTCCGCTCTTGAAGACAGTATTAAACAGTACGAGCAGGATCTGGCCAGGAAGCTGTACCAGTCCCGGCAGCGGGTGCCTGCTCCTGGGGCCAGGCCGGCTCAGGTGCTGAGCCCGGTGCAGAGTCACGCCACAAGGACCCTGGGGTCAGGAAGCCAATCCAGGTGTGCACAGCCCGTTCCCCCGGCTGCATGCTCCCGGTCTGAACGCCCGCAGGGCCTGCGGGGAGCAGCTCCTGCATCCATGCGCTGGGGCCGCCGCTCCTGCTCCTGCAGCCGTCTCGCCTGCGAGGGGCACAGGCCAGGACGTAGCTGAGGGGGCAGGCGCTGCTGAGCCCTGTGCCTGTGCTGTGCGCAGCTCTGAGTCCCCACGCACCAGGAGGGTGCGGGGCACAGAAGCACAGGGAGAGCTCGGCCCCCGAAGCACAGGTGGTTCTCCCCCTCTTCGGCCCCGGGGCCCCTGGCACGCTCTGAGACACCCCCAGGAGCCCTGCAGCACCTCTGCAGGGTGATTGCATTGGCTGGGAGGAGGCTCAGGGCCGGTGGCACCGAGTGCAGCTGTTGTTGGAGTGCCCCCCACCCTGACACTCGGGACACGCGGAAGACAGGCCCTTCCCTGGTTCATCCCGGGGCCAGGGGCTGGCTGCTGGAATCGCCCGCAGTCGTGTGCTATGAGGAAGTGACTGATGTCTTCTCTCTCGCTTCCCGAGGCAGGATGAAGTCCCTGGAGCAGGATGCCCTCAAAGCGCAGATGGTGATTGCCAAGTCCAAGGAAGGGAAGAAGCGCAGCACCCTGGAGCAGCTGGCAGAGTCGCCTTCCCCCGCCCCCACCCCATCGCCAACGCCTCTGGAAGGTACTACATGGTGACACCGTGGGCTGGGGGGGCCGGGTGTCACCGCACCTCAAGGGAGCAGCTCAGGGCTCGCTACCCTCAGCACACTGGCCAGGGCTCCCGGGTGCTAGCATGGGCTTGCTGTGGGCCAGTCCTCTTGTCACCCAGACAGGACACGGGGAGTGTCAGCCTGACAGGTGGTCCTGCTCACCCCAGACTTGGAGAGGTTCCTCTGCGGGCGACAGCTTTCTGCAGCAAGGCAGGGGAGCTAAGCCGTCCCCTGCCTGGAGGAGCAGAGGCCCCTGTGCACGGACCGGTGCTTGGGCGTGGGGTGCAGAATGTGACATGGTCTCTGCTAACCGGCAACTCTGCCTCTTTCACAGATTGCAGCCCCAGGACCGTCACCTCGCCAGGACGCCTGGTATGCGATGCAGGCACTTGTCTTCTCCCCATTTATGAGCCTGGGATCCCTGCTCCTGAACCCGCCCGGCCCTGAGAGAGCAGAGTGGCTCTTACTGCCAGGCAGGGCCTTCCACCCAGAGCCTTGTGCCAGCCCAGTTCTGGGGCACAGGCAGCAGGAGCCGACTGTGGCCGCGTGAGCTCAGCAGCACTGACCTGAGAGCTGATATCGAGCCCCAGGTTCCCATTTCCCCCACCTGTGAGCTCACCCCTTTCCCACCTTCACTTCCTTGCCTCTCTCCTCCTTCAGCTCAGCCTCTGCCCTCTGCACCCCAAAGGCCTTTCCCTTCCGAGACCTCGTCATTCCTCCCCTGGTTTACACGATCTCCAGCAGCTTTCAGCAGCTTTAGTTGAGACCAGACATGAGAGACAAGTCTTGGCCCAGAGAGCTCAAAGTCTAATAGCCAGGACAGACAGACAGAGGAAGGGGAGCAGATGTGGAGAGAATGGGATGGGATGGGCTGGCGCCAGTCATGCCACAGGGCAGGCACGGGGCTCAGGCCAGAAGTCCCTCTGACGTGAGCAGCAGGCAGGTGTCCGCACAGCACAGACGTGTCCCCGCCACATGCCCCGGCCCCTGCGTTGCTGGCAGCGCGCTGCAGCCCTCCGCTTGCTGCTGCTCTCTCTCTCTCACTCGCTCTCTTTCTCTCTTTCTCGCCCTCTCTCCTCTCGCCATCCCTTCCAGTCCATGTCCGAAAAGAAGTTTGACTACCGGGAATTTGCCGCTATTCCTTCTTCCAAACCCGTTTACGAAATCCAGGTACAAGCTGCATGCTGCCCTTCTGTGCCCAGCTGCCAGCACACCCGCTGGGCCCGCTCGGCTCTGGTGGGAATTCCCTCGCCCACTCGCCTAGAAAAGCCTCTTTCGGGGTAGGGGTAGAGCTGAGGGATTGTGGGTATAATGTCTTTGGGATGTAGCAGGATTATGGTGTGCGGCACAGGGAAGCGCCCTCACTCCCTGCGATGAGATCTGGTATCTGCTGCCAGCTGAGCACGAGGACACGGGCACGCAGCGCTAGGACAGGAGACTGCCGCCAAGGCCTGTTCACGTGGGAGGCAGCGACCTCCGTCTGCTGGAAGAGCCGGGAGGGAGGCAGCGCTTCCCCGCGGCATCGCACTCTCCCGGCAGGCAGTCGGCCCGAGTGTGGAAGACTTCAGCCAAGTACCAGAGGCCTCGGTTTTTATAAACACTCTTGTGAACACATAGCCTTTACCTGTCTTGCTGTTCCGGTCTCACAGCACCTCAGGGAGCTCTTGGGGACTCGGGGCAGAGGGACAACGTTGAAATGAGGCCGCCTAGGGCCGACGGCTGCCCTGGAAGCAAGTGAACCTCAAGAGACAAGAACAAACACGAGGACACGAAAGCCAAGGGGTCAGTCGCCCTCATGGAAGGGGAGCAAATGCCACTTCACGCCCAGGCGCAGCTGGCAGCTTGCCGAAGAAACCGGCACCACCCATTGAAGCCCCAGGACTCGGTCCCCTACGAGGAGCTGAGGTGGGGGTCTGTGGGCCCCAGCACTGACATGCCTGCCACTCATTGACAGCAAGAAGCAGCTGGAGCCGAAGCAACTCTCGGGGCAGACCTGCCTTATTTTCCTGCATGTGCGCACCCCGACTAAGTTACGCACTTTCCTGGTGAGCGGCTTTTGTAGCCGGGTCTCTGAGGAGGCCGAGGGAGTGGGCGAGTGACCCTGTCCACAGCCAGCAGCTAGAGCCCTGGGCGTAGGTGTTACTTCCCTCCTCATCCCCCTGCAGAGGTGGAAAGTGCTGGTACCCTATTCCTTTGCTTATAGTGGGGGTGCATAGGGAATGCAAGAAAATACGGAAGTCCTTTCATCCCTGCTGTCGTGCGTCACCAATGGCTGCTCGTTCCTGATGGCTGCTTTGGGCGACGTTGGACGCTGTAGTAGGTGCTGGGGGCACCATCTTTGCTTTTGTGGCCCTGTGTCGCAGCACTGAGTGCTGGACAGGAACTGGGGAGCCACCTCCCACATGCCTCTGCTACAGGGACCTGGCCCCTGCCTGCAGGACCAAAAGCCCCAGGTCCCAGAAGCCCCAGGTGCCTCCCTGGCACAACCAGCCTCAGCACCGTCCCCCTTGGAGACTACAGCAGCTTCTCTGTGCTCAACCCGCACGGTTGCCCGTAGGTCACGGTTCCTGCTGCTCTGATCGGCGATGACGGCTCTCCCTTCCCTTCGCTGTGTATGCCACATCTGTGGCCTTGGCCTCGGCCTCCTGCTCCAAACAGCGAGAGGGACAGCAGCTGCAGGCCAGTGCCAGGAGTGCGGTGCTTGGAGAGGCTGCGTGCGCAGCTTGGGGAGCGTGGCCGGACACCGTCCCCTGGCAGGTGCGTGCTCCCCGCTGGGCGAGGGCACAGCCCCAGCACCATGGCAGTCGCAGGCCACAAGGTCCCCAGGAGCTGTAGTGCAGCGAGGGACAGGAGACCTTTCATCCCACCTCCAAGGGGCCAGGAGGACGCCTCCCCCTGGCCTTGTTCACGTGGCTTCGTGCGCCGGGAGAGGAGCTGCAGCCTTTGCCAGATGCAAGCAGGAGGCCACGCAACATTCACCTCCGTTTTCTTGTGCAGGGACCGGGACTTCCCTGCTGTGATAGAAGCCGGACGCGAGGGGATCGCCTTCAGACCTCAGGTTGGGGAGGACCGGGTTAGAGAGCTTCTGGAGGGGCTGGACGCGTTCAAGTCAGCGGGTCCGGATGCTCTCCACCCCAGGGTGCTGAGGGAGCTAGCTGGGGTTATTGCAGGGCCCCTGGCACGGCTCTACGAGCGATCGTGGTGCTTGGGCCAGGTGCCAGACGATTGGAAGGTAGCTAATGTGGTCCCCATCTTCAAGAAAGGGAAAAGGGAGGACCCGGGCAACTATAGCCCCGTCAGTCTCACCTCAATCCTGGGGAAACTCTTTGAGAAGATCATCAAGGAGCACATTTGTGATGGGCCGGCATCAGAAATGATGCTCAGGGGCAATCAGCATGGATTTATTAGGGGGAGATCATGTCAGACCAACCTGATTGCCTTTTATGATCAGGTCACAAAGGCCATGGACGCAGGTGTCGCGGTGGATGTAGTCTTTCTGGACTTCAGCAAGGCCTTTGACACCGTCTCTCACCCCATCCTAATTAATAAACTAGGCGACTGTGGCATAGATGCCTACACAGTCAGATGGATTGCAGATTGGCTGAAGGGTCGCACTCAGAGGGTGGTGGTGGATGGATCATACTCGACTTGGGGGGAGGTGGGTAGTGGAGTCCCCCAGGGCTCGGTCCTGGGGCCTGCGCTGTTCAATTTCTTCATCAGCGATCTTGATGTTGGGGTGGAAAGCAACCTGTTTAAATTCGCTGATGACACCAAAATTTGGGGGGAGGTGAGCACGCTAGCAGGGAGAGAGAGATTGCAGAAGGATCTGGATAGGTTACAGGGGTGGGCAAACAGGAACAGGATGTGTTTCAATACGGACAAGTGCAGGGTGCTGCACTTGGGTAGTAGGAACCAGCAGCACACTTATAAGATGGGGAGCTCCCTACTTGAGAGCACGGAGGCGGAAAGGGATCTTGGTGTCATTATTGACTCCAAGATGAACATGGGCCGACAATGCGAGGTCATGGTTGGCAGGGCTAACCGGACCTTGTCGTGCATCCACAGGTGCATCTCGAGTAGAGCCAGGGAGGTGATCCTCCCCCTCTATGCGACGCTGGTCAGGCCGCAGCTGGAGTATTGTGTCCAGTTCTGTGCGCCCCATTTCAGGAGGGATGTGGACAACATGGAGAGGGTCCAGAGGAGGGCCACCCGCATGATCCGGGGACAACAGGGCAGACCCTACAGTGAGAGACTGCGGGACCTGAACCTGTTCAGCCTCCACAAGAGAAGGCTGAGGGGGGACCTGGTGACCGTCTATAAACTCACTAGGGGGAACCAGAAGGGTTTGGGGGAGACGCTGTTTCCCCTAGCCCCCGCTGGCATAACAAGGAGTAATGGGCACAAGTTGATGGAGAGGAGGTACAGATTGGACATCCGAAAAAACTACTTCACAGTTAGGGCGGCTAGGAGCTGGAACCAACTTCCAAGGGAGGTGGTGCTGGCCCCTACCCTGGGGATCTTTAAGAAGAGGCTGGATACTTACCTGGCTGGACTCATTTGAGTCCCGTTTTTGTTTTTAGGGTGAGTGGTTTTGTTTGTGTTTTTGGGTTGTTCTCCCGCCCTGGCGGGGGGTCGGGCTAGAAGATCTATTAGGTCCCTTCCGACCCTGAAACTATGAAACTATGAAACATCCGTGCTGCCTCTCCGGCAGCATCAGCAACCGCAGGGCTGCACCTGCCGCAGGTTCCCACAGAGTTTCACGTCGCAACTCCCTTCTGCCCATGTGTCCAAAGCACCGCGTGGTCTGAGCCTGAGGGATCCGTGGATCACCAGCACAGGGCCACAACTGCCGCCTGTGCACGACGGGCTCAGCTTGCATCAGCAGGAGACGAGGCTTCCTTGGCCTGGCCAGGGCTGTGGAGCTGCCTGCTGCAGGGCTGAGGCTCCCGCAGGCCCCTTGGCATTTCCGACCCACGTGCAGAGGCTCCTCCTGCCTGAGCAGCCACTGAGAAAGGGCTAGCGGACAGAGCTGCAGTCGCCCCCTGTTCACACGTGGCCCTCGAGCGCTGCATGGGCAGAGCCCTGGGGCGCAGCTGCTGGCTGCTCATGGCCAATGGCCCAGTGCCAATGGCCCTGGACCACGGGGCCCAGCGTGCGCTGGGATGGCCTGAAAAGTATAGACGGGTACAACCTGCCGTTACACACGAGAGGCTTGGCCCATACCGCACCAGAACCCGTGGTCCCCGCTGGGCACCAGGGACAGCGCCAGGGGGTCGGGAGCCCTGCAGGAGGGGTCGTCATCCTAGGGAGCCTCCAGGCTCACGGCTTTAGGGATCACGCACTGAGCTCGACTGACCTTGCCGAGGCCCTGCAGCCAGCGGGGTCTGCTGGGGCTCAGTCACCCGTCGCACACCGCCGGTGCTCGTGGAGTCCCCACACACCTCCCGGGGAAGCGTCGCCGGGGTCAGACACGCACCTGGCCAAGGGTGTCGGGTGAAGTGGGCCCTGGAGGAGAGTCCAGGGGATCGCAGCCCTCCACTCCACTCCTGTCCTGTCCTCCCCTCCCTGCCTGCCCTGTCCATCACTCTTTCTCTCAACCCAGCCCTGGTAATGAGGAGAGACCCCCGCCCCGCCTGCCTGGCCTAGCGCGTGAATGGAGTCGCTTCCTCTTTGCTGAGGACTTGCCCTGGCCCCTGCCTGACGGACGGGGCTGAGGGAGCTGGATGCTCACCGCCCTCTGCTCTTTTCCTTCCAGTCGCCTGATGCAGCCGATGGCCTCAGATACGTGGATGACGTGAACAGCTCGGGTGAGTTGCTGACCTGGAGCCAGGCGGTTTCCTGGGTGCCCGTGCGCCGGCTGCACTGCTGGGGCAGCCCGGGACCCCCTGGACTCGCCCCGAGGAACCCCTGCTCCACAGTCTGAAGCAGGTTCCTCTTTCTGTCCCATCCAGACTGAACCCCCCCCTCCACCTCCCAGCAGCACGGCATTGTGGGTAGGACTTTTCTGCATCATGGCTGCGTGACAACTAATCCCGGGGAGCAGTGTGTTGTGAGCATGCCGGGCCGGTGCGAGGAGCCAGGCTCCAGGCCTCCACATCCATGGGCCAGAGCAGAGGTGCTGGGTGCTGCGGCCCAAGCTGGGGCTGGGGCTGGGCTGGGCCAATGCTCTTGCCGGCACCAACCCGGCAGGGTCCTGCCTGGAGGGTCTTGCCCCTGTGCTCATGCTCAGACGCGTGCAGCATTGGGGGCAGGAAGGGGTTTCCCCCTGCTCAGACTGGTGCAGACTGGGGGGTTTTGCCTTCCTCTGCAGCGGGGGCACGGCCTCGGCCTGGGCTCTCTGCAGGGCGTTTTAACACCCCTTGCCCTGGTGGGAAACCGGCAGTCCTCATCCTCCTGCTTTACCAGAGGCAGGTTCAGGGGCTCCCCTGACTCAGTGAAATGCCTTGCAGCTGTGCAGCAGCCGGGTTGACTGCAGGTTAAGGAACGGGCCAGACAAGGACGAGTCTGGGATGGTTTGGAGGGGGTGATCCTGCCTGGGGAAGGGGCTGGACTAGACGCGGCCTCTGGAGGGCCCTGCTGTCGTGAGTCTGATTCGTTCCTGGGGCCAGCCGCAGGGGTCACCTCCTCAGGGCTGTGCAGAGGCTCCACGCCCAGCCCTTGCTCTGGACTAGATGACCAGACCAGACGTGAGCCTAGAGCAGCAAGAGCCCCAGCTCACCCAGTGACGCAGGTCGCACCGCCCTCGTGCTGCCTGAGGGCACCCTAGGGCGTTGGTCTCCTCTGTCTGGGTGGTTCCCACTCAGGCACACGTGAGCTCTGCACCCACATCACAGCCCGTGACTCGGTGCTTGTGGGGCTGCGCCTGCGCATTTGCCCCGGGCACAAAGGCAGGAGTCCGGAGCGCCCCGTGCGTCCTGCCTGGCACTCAGCCGTGAGCCTCTGCTGGCTCCCCGCCCATGCCCGGGGCATCTCCTGCTCCCAGTAGCCTGTTTGTCATTGCTTCTCTTCAGCTTCATAAGAAGCAGCTTCTCTCCTCTCTTGTCCCACTACCTTGTGCCAGCAGCCCTGGGCCCCCGTGTTGGGCTTGTTCCTTGTTCTTTGGGCAGGGAAGGGGACAGGGCACCAGCTTGGGGAGCGCTGCTGCTCGTGGCTGGTTTCTTCCAGCACGTGTTGCTCCAGAGAGGCCCGGTGACTGCACGTTCTCCTGGCGCCTCCTGCAAGAGGAGGCAGGGCCCTGAGGGCAGGCTGCTGGCGTGGAGCAGGGTTGTCTCTGCGTGCCGCCTGCTCAGTGCACAGGGACGGGCTTCCTGGGACCAGCAGGGAGGCAGGGCCCCCAGCCCCGGCACTGACCAGCTCCCCTTCATCCCAGCTGGGTGCAGCTGGGCACTCGGCGCTGAGCTGCATACCCCCAGAGCTTGCTCCCAGGGGAGGCTCTTGGCACCGTGCAGACACAAGAGGCCAGAGAGGAGCCACAGGCCATGTCTTGTGTTTCCATCGCCGGGGCCTGGCTGAGCTGAGCACTGTGGCTGCCCACGTCCAGGGAGACTCGAGCCCCGCTGGCAGGGAATGTTGTGGATGCCCACACTGGCCCGGCAGTGCACTAGTGCTTAGGGGCTTGTGCAAGCCCCTCGCACACGTTGTGGCCTAAGTACAACTCCAACTTTGGCATCTCAGGTGCCTTGGTCCCTGCTGTTCTCACAGACTGAGATCTAGGTCCAAGCACTTCTGCTCCAGGGGAGCCCCACCGTGCCTCTAGGCCACAAGCTGCCCCCCTGCCCCAGTCCCTGGCCCCTTGCTAAGAACTTTATTGCCTCCTACTCCTAGTACAGAAGATCCCCCCTAGACCAGTGGTTCTCAACATTTTTTTTGTTCCAGGACCCATTTGTAAACATCGATGGCCAGCCCCGACCCGCTGCCCCCAGGCCCCCAGTGTATGGGGTGGTGGGGCGTGTGGGGCTTCTCCCAGGGCCCCTGCTTATTCCCCGCCACCACCACTCCAGCCTTATTAGGGAACTTCAGGGTCTCCCTCCCAACCGCTCGAGACCCTGCGTCCCTTCCCCTTGTCCCTGAAAGGGCCTAGTCCTGGCTGCAACCGTGAGTCCTTGCAGCAGGCAGGTGGGGAGAACAATGCCCGATGCCCTGCTTGAGGCTGTCTCTCCTCCCCTGATCTTGCTGCTGCCTGTGCTCATCATTGGGTGTCAGCCTGAGCTGTGATGTGCCTCTGACTCCATCAGCCTTCTCTGGAGGTCTTGCCCCTGTCCGCTGTTGAGGAGAGACCCGCAAGCTCCCTGGCTTGCCTCTCTCAGCGGACTTGGAAAATGCTTCCCACGTCCTTTGCTAGTCATGTCACCATTTGTGCCTCGGCCATCCCGGTCGCCCTGCAGAGGCTGCACCGGTCTCAGAGCCGCCCATAGTGGCCAGTGGCTGCGAGTGTATGGGCGAGCTGTATAGCCCCCCGGCGCTGGCGGCAGTCATCTCCATGCCGCCCCCTCCCCCCGCAAAAATGAGCTCTGCCATGGCTCCGTGGTGGGTCACGCAGTGACCTGAGTCCAGTCCTTGCCCTCAGAGTTGCCCAGTTCCTCATGGGAGCAATGCTGCGGCACGTTGGGACCTGGTGCTGCAGGGAGGGACGGGCCCCACTGAGCTCAGCTCTGAGCTGGGCCAGGAGCAGGACTCCCTGCTCCCACGCATGTAGTAACAGCCTGGCCTTGGTGACGCACGGTAGAACCAACACTGCCATGTGCAGGGGTGGGCACCACTTCCCGGTTGAGCGTGGTGGTTGGGACGGGAGCCGGCGCCTCTTGGGGGCTGTGTTCACAGCAGCAGGACTTTGGGGCAAGAGCCTGGACGGGGCGGAGGCCACGGGCGAGCTGCTGGTCTGTCCAGGAACCCAGAGGTCCCCTGGGGCATGGGTCCATCTCCCACAGGCCCTGAGCAGCAGCAGCACCAGCCTTGCCCCTCCCCTGTGTCACCTGCAAGGCCAGTTTTGCTCTCGCCGCCACTAACACACGCCCGTAACACGTGTGCATGCGCACATCTGTCTAACACCCTGACTCAGTTAGCCCTGCCCCTGTCTGGGAGCCCACCCCTGAGGCCACAACAGCCCTCAACTGGGGCCCCTCAGCCAGGCATTTGGGCTGAGCCTGGGCTGCAGGCAGGGAATGCCCCTGCCCTTTGTCACAAGGTGCCTGGCGCAGGGCATCCTGCCCTTTGCCCTTGGGCTAGGGGGTCAGGATGGCGCAGGCCTGGAGCCAAACCCAGCCTCTCCCAGCCCCTATCCTGGCTGTGTTCAGCCCGTTTGCTGGAGCTCCTCCAGCTTGCATGGACCAAGTGCATGATGTGTGGGCCAGAGCGTGCAGGGCACAGCATGTGGGCAGGTGTGAGGCAAGGCCATGCGTGTGGCCAGGTGGCTACGACTGCAGCAGACGATGCTGTGCCACCCAAGCCCCTGTCTTGGCTCTGCTCAAGCGCCTTTCTGGAGCGCCCAGCCTGCCATGAGGCCTGGCATGGGGTGGGGGGTCAGCGAGGGCAGCTGGACTGGGGACACCGGTCCATCCTGTGCCTCATCTCCCTGTCTCTGCTCAGTCCCCCAGGAGCAGGACGGGCAGCCAGAGGAAGAGGAGCTGTTAGTAACGCGTGACCCGTCGGCGCCCAACGCCTCCGCACTCGAAGATGTGGCTCTGTACAGCAGCAAGCGCAAACTGCGGCACGGCCGGCGCAGCCTGGAGGCTGCCGTCCCCACATAGAGCATCTGGCGCCCCTGAGCAATGGGACGGGCCGGCACCGGGCTCGCAACCTTCCTGGGCTCTGCCAACAGTGCTGGCCTGGGCCCCGCAGCTGCCCCCGGCGCGGGACGGGACCCAGGAGCCCGGCAGCAGCGTGGTTAACTGACTTCCTTGGAGGCTGTGAACGTCCCTTTGCTCTCGGCCCGCAGCGCGCTGGGGCACGGGCTGAACAAAGACAGCGCTGGAGGCGCGTGGCGCAGACAGGGCAGAAGGCAGTGGCAGTGTTAGCTGCCACTGTGCAGCGTGGGGGGGTTGTGTGGGGTGGTTTGTGGGGGGCACTAGCTATTCTCCCCTGAGGAAGTTTTAACCGTGAATCCAGGGCTTGCATTGGGAGACGAAGCAGCAGGCACCACCAGCCTTTGCTCCTGTTAAGTTTTGCATAGTTGGCAAAAAAACTCCGTCTCCCCGCCCTCCCCCCACGGACCTGTCACTGGGCCTGGGCGAGCTCGGCATGGCCGACAGCACCGAGTGAAGCGCCGCTCTTGAAGCCTGTGCGCCCGAGGGGGAGGGCAGAGAGGGGGTGTGCTTGGGGGTGTGTGGGTGCCTCTGCCCTCATGGGGATGCAGCTGCTCCATGTCACTTGCCTCTGTGAGCGCAGCCACCTGGTCCTTGCGCGCCCTCCAGCCTGTGCCCTTCTGGGTGCCAGCACCGTGTCCGGTGCAGCACGGGCATGCACCCTGCTGTGCAAACCTGCGTGCCACTGGGCTTTGTCCGGTGTGTGGAGAGTGTGTGACTGTGCTGTGGAGAGGCCGTGAGCAGCTGTATCGAGGGGATAGTGTGTGCATGTGGCTGCAGTAAGGCAGAGTAGCGGGGGGCTAGGATGTGACAGATATGTGGCATAAAAGGACCAGCAGAAGATGAGGTTTGGGGTGGGGCGGAGGGGCTGGGGGGGGCTAGGTA